AAATATATATATGTGTGTGTGCGCATGTGTTTGCGTGTGTTTGTGTTTACAAGATATTACTGTCGTTTAAACTTATTGTCCTTTTCCGGATCGAATCCAGCAATGCAAATGAACATAACAGATATTTCCATCGTTGCCGATGCAATCTACAAAAAAAAACATTTCCAAGCTCTTCTTACCTGGTCAACGACAATGGTAGAATTAGTGAATATATCCGTTCCAATACAACTATTCCAAAAGCAAATTGATTATGCTTATGCACTCCACATTGGTCCTTTCCTTAAAATAAAACTCAAAACCTTCACCAGGTGGAACGAGAAGAACGGATTCTATTTACTATTGCCGATGTCAAGTCCAAGAAAATCATCTGCAAGTTCTTCTTGCCGTGTAAACGTCTTATCGAAAATTATCAGTACGATCTCAAGTGCAGCGAAACCAGGACCTCAGCCAATCCAGTATGTAGACGCCGATTTATAGTATGTAGATAGACGCCGATTTATGTTTCTGAATCTGTGTTTAGTCCCAATTTTCTTATTCAGATGCTATATTGGTGTATAAAGGTATATCGTTCCTGTATGTAGATAGACAGCGATTTGTGTTTTTGAACCTATATCCAGCCCCAATCAACTTTTCCAGGTGTTATATTGATGTATACAGGTATATCGTTTCTATATGTAGAAAAACAGCGATTTATGTTTTGGAATCTATATTCAGCCCCAATAATCTTATCCAGGAGTTATATTGATGTATACAGGTATATCGTTTCTATATGTAGAAAAACAGCGATTTGTGTTTTGGAATCTATATTCAGCCCCAATATTCTTATCCAGGTGTTATATTGCTGTATACAGGTATATCGTTTCTATATGTAGAAAGACAGCGATTTGTATTTCTGTATCTGTATTCAGTCGCAACTACCTTATCCAGGTGCTAAATTGGCATATACAGGTGTATCGTTCCTGAATGTCGATAGACACCGATTTGTGTGTCTGGATTTGTATCCAACCCCAATCTTTCCAATGTAGACAGGTGCTTCGTTATCATAGTCGTTTACACGTACCGGTGAAGCGATTATTATTCTCTTCACATATGTAACTCTTGTCCTCTGCAGTGCCGCGTTACCTATGACCATACAGTCGCTGATTCCCGCTGTAAGCGATACTAAACAACGCACTCAACCCCTAAAATCCTACAGCTCTAGTACCCTAAAAACCTTGATAATCCACACGATCTATTCTTCTACTTGCCACTAGGCAGCGGTCATATCACGTAGTGCAGACAAAGCCCTCGGATACAATTGCTCGGCCACGTCGATGTCTCTCGAGGATCTGAATAAGGCGAATGATATGGGCAAGCCAGGTACGTACGCAACATATATGCAAATATAAGTAAATGCATACAAGCATGTACAACATTCACGCATACGTATTGCCAAGCTGACATACTTCCATTTTATATTTGCAAGTGCTATTCAGATATGGATAGAAGGCGTACTTGTGTATTTGCAGCCATGTCTGCTTGCGTCTATGTGTTATTCATATAGGCAAAGACCTTTGTCTCACATATCTTTACATCCATTTCTTCGCAAACTTATTTGTCATTGTACCGTGAAAACCCTAAAACCCTAAAAACCGTGTGGACATTTCTTTGTAATCCAAGTGTAAACGCGTAGAGCGTTCACAGGCGGTCTATAAACAACCCCCCCCCCAAAATAAATAAATAAAAAATACTGTGAAGTTATGTTCCACCCGTAGGGACGGGCGTGACTCCTGTCATCACGGAACACACTATGTTTGGATATATAACCCTCACTGTCTATTGAATTACCACATTCTCGTACTATGTCGTATGTTCATCTACAATGTCGTATGTTCATCGACATAGTCGTATATTCATCCGATCTCAAAAGGGCGAAATCGACCAAGCCACGGAAGAACAAAATGCCAATCTCATAATGGGACTGGACTGAGCAAGTCATCTCAGGAATAGATATGTGCCTCTTTATCTATCCATTACTGCTTCCTAAGAAATTAGACACATTTCACACTCCATATTGTATATTATATTTCCAATTATAAGGCGCCGCTCCAAA